AAATTCACCGAGCTTATTCTAATTTAGCTATTTGAGTGTCCAGAGCCTTCAAAGATTCGATCACAGTCTCAAAATGGCAAAAAATAAATATTTCTTATGAATTTCATCAGCGTGTTATTGCTCAAAGACATAAAAAGTGTGCTGCATGTTTTATTCAGCAGTGAATTATTCTCTCTATAGAACAGCACAGTCTGGCTTTAATTATAACTAAGCAAAACAAAAAAATACACCAGTGACTGAAGTCTGAGAAACATATGCCTCGCAGGTTCCAAACTGGCACTTTAAATGGGCTCTGCAAAATCTTTTTCTGGAAGCACAGCATCCTGGTGTCGCCTCTCCACTGTTGACGTTAAAACTGTTGTTTTGCTGTAACCTTTCATAAAACTGCCAATTAAGGACCTGTGAGGTGTCTTTTTCTCTAATGCACTTGTCCTTTGGCTCAGAATTGCGCTGTGGCCTCCTTCTTCTTTCTATTCTGGTTAGGGCCAGTTTGTGCTCATCTATGGACTGAGTGGCACACACCATCATATAAAATCTTAATTTTTTCTTTTATTTGTGACAATTTCCTCAATAAAGAAGCATCCTTTCTTTTAGAGCAAAAATACTCTGACAAATTTGAGAAGAAAGCTCCTTTTTTCACGTCAATTTGAAGCTATAATCGAACCCATAAAGGCTAATAATCCAGACACTCAGGTAGCCAAATGTATTCCTTGTGCAATCAGCAGAACGGTTTTCAGCTGTGCATACACACTCGTGAAACGATAAATGGGCCTTTTAACATCTGAAACCTGCAGTAGGTACTGAAATTTGTTTCAGTGGAACACAGGACTTTACACCTACGGATATACTCCAATAAAAATAATGAATGACTCATAATTAATGGTGCCATCCATCACTGATTGTAATTTGGAACATTTATCATCAGTTAAAATAGAAAAGGGGGGAAGTGTGCTTCAAAAATAAAGACATTTCTAAGTGACCCCAAACATTTTGAGCAGCAGTGTTTTGGCAAGTGTAAATGATCATATTCATCAAGTTGATAAGTTGATGCATTCTGCTCCAGAAACTTGAAAGATAAGCAAATAGTAAGCAAACATGGCCAGTATGAAAGGCATGAAATGAAATTTGCTAAGGTTGCTGTTCGGCAGAACCCTTGGCAGGAAAAATGGACGAAGTATCAACTGTGATTGATTACCTCTCTTAGGTTTCAAGCCTGTGCAGCTTTATTTTTTCTACTATACTGACACAAACTGATACTAATGGCTGCAACAAAAAAAGAGCCTAGAAGTCGAGATACACTTTAATAATAGTCAGCGGCCGGTGATGTGAACCATGCAGAGTTTGCAATTCAAGTATTAAAACATGCAAAATAATGTGGAGAAAAAAACAAAACAAACTTTTACATCATTTCTGACCTTTTTGGGGGAGGGGGGGTGGCTTTACTGGACAACTGGAAAGAATAATGAAGGCTAAAATTTGGGCCCAAGGTGAGGAGTTCCGCAGAAAAGACGCTAACCAGAGCCAAGGAAGTCTTGCCAGCTTTCGCTGAAGCAATCTAATTATAGAGACTGGCACGCTAGCTTTAATGATGCAATGGCTGCTAACTTTAAAAAAGTTCTCCCGTGTGTTCGTCCCTGCTCTCGTCTGTCTCAGACATGGTTTTTTTTTTTTTTTTGCTGTGCGGGACAGAAACAGCAGCTGCTCATAAGTATTCACAGTCCTGCTCGTGGATTAGCAGAGACAAAATGTGAGCGTAGATTGGACTGCACACTGCGCTGCCTCCTCCAGAACACAGCGGGCCCTTCTCATTCTCTCTGAGCGCTAACCACAGCTGTTCAACACCATTTGACTTTTCCTAACAACAATGTTCTCAGATGGCTGTGCCCACTTTTGTTCCTTCTCGCTGGAACAGTTGCTCTTCTGGTTTTCTTTAATGTCTTTGTCTCTCGGTGGTGTGTTGGATGAGAGCTCGTTGCCTTGCTGACCAAAACGGTGATGGGACGCTGTTCAGGATGATGTTTGTTGATCTCACCGTGGTTGTTATAGTGATTGCCTTTGATTTGTGGCCCCGCTCATCAGTTTCAACTCTTGAGTGTTTTTTGCACGCTGAGCCTAGCCCAGTAAGCCCCATATTTCTGCATTGTGTCATCAGGCATATGTGCATTCAGATGAAGAGGGAGAAAAGACGGCACTCTTTCATTTTCTCTCCTCGACGTGAACACGTGCACCGTGTATCGGTTGCGTTGTGACTGCCATTCAGGACAGCTGCACCGGGTCGCACCCATGCGTACACGCACTACGAGGCCATAAGTCACCATTTCTACACCACCTCCCAAATACTCACATTCATGTAACCGTGTCATCGCTGCTCTTGCCCCTCCACCCCGTTGTGCGTGAGCTGACTCTACTATTTCCTCTTTTTCCATACATTCCCTCTGCCTGCCTCTCTCCCTCCCCTCCCTCTGATCCTCTGTCACTACAGCTGTGTGTCAGCTGTTGGCCTGTCCCAGTCTACTCAGAGATGAAGCTGAAATGTAAAGGGTCTGCAGGGAAGACAGCCTGGCCCCTCTGTTTTACCCAGCTGTCACTCCCACTTCAGACTTCCACATATCATCAAGGCTTCTTTCTTCCTTCTTGCTTCCCCATCGGAAGTTTTCTTCGTTTTTTTTTTTTTTTTAAAATTTCTGTAAGAGTCACATGCTTGATTGGTTTCTTTGGGCTTCTAGTTTTTCCTGCCTTTGATGTTCCCCTGTCTACGTCTTGGTGTTTATTGTTGGTCATTCTTAGCTTTGTGTTCCTTTGAGGGTTTTTTTTGTTTAGCTCATCTTTTTACTGTTCTTCGACATGGATCCAAATTTCACGAGGATCGCTCCTACTCCTACAGTGTTGGTCGGGATTTAATAAAACACACACACACACTGATCACCTAATGGGGCTTCACAGAAACGTTGCAGAAGGTCAGTGTCGGATTTGTTGTTTTATGTGCACTTTTCCATTGTCACAGCATAACCTTCATGCACACCACCCACAATTTCACCAAATTTTCACTTTTCATTTACTGAACAATATTCAGTTCAAACCAGTTAGTGAAGCCCTTAACATCAGATTCTCTGTGTTGATCCATTTGGCACCTTTAGATCACTTTACCACGCGTGGTGCGTAGCATTTATATCCTGCTCAGTGTCGTTATCTTATTGGTCATTATGATTGAGGGAGTGGTCCTATTGGTCGACTCCCACGTTAGGAAGGTTTAAGCCTTTGTATCACCATTAGACATCATATCAGACATGATCATGCTTTATTTTTTACCATGTTTATTAATGACCATGTAGTCATAATGCTCATGAAGTCAAACAGTTTTGTTTGGTGGTGAACAAGATGAACAAGACTCCAGAATGACCGTATATGTATGTGTATGTGTATACATATATAACTGTTGCCTTAAGGCACATTATTTTGTAAGGCAGAGCCTGCAATGTTACATTAAAAAAACTCCAATCACACTATCCCCTATGAGCCAGCAAAAGTGGGAAGGAAAAACTGCCTTTTAACAGGCTGTTCTTTTCCTCCTTGGTGGTCAGCAGCCCTGCTCTTGTTAGTATTTGTTTCACTGAGATGTGTTCCTACCTGTATATTGGCCCTCTGTGCATATACAGTGTTACTGTCTTTCATCTGTCTGCTTACCTCTCACTCCTCGTGCTTCCCGTGCTCCTTTTGTGGTTTCCTGTTTTGTTTAACGTCTGGAATTCTGGGACTCTACAATCAGCCATTTACAAAAAAAAAGAAGCTCATTCTGTTTGTTTTGCCGTCTCCTGTGTCATGTATTTCCATCCAAAATCTACACTTGCATGATATGCTCTGGTACCAGTTTATTAGTCACTAGCTAAAACTGTATAAATATAGCCCAACTGTTAACACAGGAGACCTGCAGTAAATCCTGCCTTGTTGACGGGTATAATGTACTGTTTTTGCCGAAACTAGGGAGGTATTTATTGAACTTTATTGCTGTTTTGGCAGCTCCATACATGACAGTGCAGTTCAGCACCACGGACTAAAGACTCCAGAATGACCATAAAGTAAAATCCACACCTCTGTAAAACAGTTTAGAGAAAAAATAAACATGCTAACTTTCACAAGGGAAAGATTCATTACAGCTTTGGAGTTTTTTGTTTTTTCAAATTTTGACAGGTGTACCTAATAAACTGGCCACTGAGTGCAGCTGTTTTAATGTTTAATGATCTTTAGAGCCTTTCTCTCTCTCGGTCGAATAAAACAATGTCTGTAATAAGCAAGTAATTTACTCGGTACTAACCTATCACAGGCTGCGTTTGTGTCCTCATTAACTCCAAACACTGACATCTGTCCTGTTCCCTTTCTTGTTGGCTCTCATTTCTTCAGCCTTACAGTTTCATCTGTTTGTTATTTATTACAAACAAGCGTCTGTAACTGGCTGCTCCAAATGTGCTCCATCTCGTAAAGTAGGTTTGAAACCAGTAATTTGGAGATGAATGGCATTTCAAATACAGAAGGAATGAAATTCTCTTGGAGTAGATGGTTGACGGCTAATTATACCATCCTTGGATACCAGGCTGTTTCGTTTGTAGCCTTCATACAGGCAGCTTAGTATTATTGTATCGTGGCATTCTGGTGCCAGAGAGAAAAACAAATTAGCCTGTGAAAGTGGCCTTTGTTATACGGCTTTGTGCTTGCTTCTCTGGGGCTTTTGGCTCATTTCTGCATTTGGCATTGAAATTGTTGAGAAACAAATGATTGTGAGACACGTGACGTGCTTTGGAATAAGAGGATTTAACCAAGGGTTGAGTTCTCGATGGCGATGGCGGGTCTCTGAGCTTTGCAGCCTGAGGGTAGGGCTGTATGTGTGCATGTGAATGTGTATATATGTATATGAAATGATTTGTGGTGTGATGGTGCTGCGTGGTGTTTTTAATGGGCTTTTTTTATAGGAGATGTGGTTCTAAATGCCTTTTTCTCTGCGACAGGTATGCCTTTGGTCGTCAGTCTGACTCCCGACAGGTAACCAGGTGTGTTGCTGCTCTCATGGCCTTGACAACCCTGCGAGTGTTCCCTGTCGCTGTGGTCACCATCCTGGCAGTGCTGGCGTCGTCTGCAGAGGAGCATGAGTGGCACTTTGATCCAGGTGGGATGTCATCTATACATGTGTAGAGCAGAAAACATCATATCCTCAGTTTGACTTTGTTTTTGTCTGTGTCCTATTTTGTCCCCCAAACTCAGACATGATTGCATTTTCAAACCTGTTACCCTCTTCCTCTCCTTGGGCACAGCAAACGCCTTCCCCGCTGCTCTGAAATTCTCCTCACATTCTCAGATCAGTCAGCCTCATTCTCCATCCACTATCAACAGGCTATCCTGTGTCCTCTCCCTGTCTGCCAGCCAGTTGTTTGAAACAGGAGAATAAGATAGCTAGGCACCCCCCC